CCGCGTCCACGTGCTCCCCCGGCCGGAGGTGGGCCCTGGGGACGCGGCACCCCCTTCCTGGGCCGCGCTGCCTCCACCCCAGGTTTGCTGGGCGCTCTCCGGCTCGCTCTGCTTCCCGGCGGCGCTCTCTCCGCCCGCGGCCCCGCGCTCGGATCCCCTCGCTCGCCCCCCACCCTTCCTCCCAGCCTTTTAGCTTTAAATATTTATCAGCCGCGCCCGCAAAGGCCGGGGAAGAGGCCGTTTGTCTTGCAGAGGAAGGCTAGGGTTTGCAGAGAATAGCCATTAGGGTTCTTCCCCCCCCCTCCCCGCCCCCTTACCCCCGCTGGGGATCTCAGCTCTGGGTGTGTCCCCCAGACTCGGCTTGGATAAGGTCTAGGGGAAAGGGCTGCAGCGATGAGCAATTCTCCCCTCCCCCTTCCTTCCCAGCCAACCCTGCTCCCGTATTATTCCCTTCTGGACAATTAGAGGTGGGCTCTGGAGGCCTGGTGGGAGGAAGGGGTATGAGAGATTAGGATCTAGCCTGGGACACAGAGCCAGAGAGGCAGGTGGAGAGAGGGGGCAGGCTGAGGCCGAGAGAGAGATGAGGCTCCTGACCCCCCAGTGAACTTGGGAAGGGGGAGGCAGGAGAAGGAGAGAAAGGGGCAGCGGCCTCATGCTGAGTACAACGGGCTTACTCAGGTGCCCTTCTAGGGCCCCCCAGCCCCCCTTCTAGGGCCCCCCAGCCCCCCTGGGGAACTGGCCAACAGGTTTGCAGGTATTATTCCAGAAGGGTGCTGTCCTCTTGGGGGAGGCACTAGGACTTTATAGAGCCAAACCAAGGGCTCGAAAGTACAGGCCACTAAGCCAGCTGCTGTAGGAACCCCAAGAGACCAGGTGCTCCATGGTTTCCCAACAAGCCGTTCCCAGGCATTCTTCCTAATGCTGCCCGGGACTCAGCGGTCAACCCCAAGGTCCGGAAGGCCCAAGACTTGTGGTCAGAGGCTCCCAATCCAGCCAGGACTGAGGCCCAGTAGAAGACCAGCTCCTACCCCATCAGTATTGGTGGTCACGGTCCCCATTACCTGCTCCATAATTCAACTGCCTTTCCAGTTGATTTATCAAAGTCCCAATTTTTCTGCTCGTAAACATTTCAGCTTGGCTTTTATCTGACTTGAAATTAGGGCCCCCAGCCTCTCCTCCCACCAGCTTCTTCCCTGGCGGGCTGGCACCAGCACCTCCCCCAGTTCAACCTCCCCCAAGCCTCCTCAGGGTTTGGGGCCTAACCTGCGAAGCTCTCCTCTGCCCCTCAGCCCCCCTCATCCAAATGCTTTATGTTCTACCCGCAACCCAGGCTGCGGTCTGTACTCTCCCCTGTGCTTTCCTGGAGGCTGAAAGATGGCTTTGGAGAGCTAGGTTGTCAGGCAGGTGGGCAGGCAGGACGGCCTGTCCCTGTAAGACCTCTGCCACTCACTGAAAAAGAGTCATCAGAGGGCAGCTGCTCTCAGACCAACTCCATGCCCCAAGGAAATCTGTGAATTCTCACCAACTCCTCATTCCACAAGGGGGGGGGGGAAGGAGGGGAAGGACTGGACATATGAGGGTCCTTTGTCTCCTTTTCTTTTGGGGAAAAGCACTCAGGCTGGGCCTAGTGCTTTATATTGGGGTCACTCACATGGTTCCCATTGCCCCCTACCCCAAAGACCATCAGAGCAGCATCCAAGGGCTTGAGGCCCCTAGTCCTGAGGGTGATGGAAAGATTAAGGTCCCTTTGTCCCACATATACCCCTTCGGCCCTGGCCTTTAACAGGCAGCAGTTTAGACGTTGGGTTCGGAAGCCCAGGCCTGGAAGATTTCTTAGCTGGAAAATGGGAATGTTTGCCTGTGAAGGCCTGTAGACATGTCTGCACACGGAGGAAGAGGGTGGGCATGGGCTGGGGCATGGAAAGTGAACATTTGGTTTAA